ACTGCACCCCTTCTTTGTACTACCCCATCCTTACATTTGGCTTACACTTGGAGTACTTATCTCATCGTATGAAGAAACACAGCAATCCAATTTGTCGTTGCCTCGATTACCGGGCGTATACTTTTCACGAAGGCATTTATGATTGTTTTAAAATGAGGTCAAGCACACTTTGTAGCATTCTATCATCGAATGCATTCTTTGCTGTGATTTTCGACTGGGCATCCAAATGTAAAGAAGGTGAATCTAAATCCACTGTTAAGTCTGTAACTTTTTTTATGTCTTCCAAGGTACTCAGTGGCACTCCATAATGGGGTTTTCATCTGCTGGGAATTTGTATACCAGCAAATATAACTGTCAGCAACCCCAGCTGCATTTTTTGTTTCGCGAATAGGCAGGTCTTGAAAGGATCTTAAAACAGCATGTCTTTCCACTAAGCCATATTTTAGCCGTCCATTGTGTTTAACCAGGATCAGGGACAAATCATATCACGGATAATTTTGGTTTTTTCAAAAAGGGCATAAACAACAGCTTGTGGTAAACGAAAAATTGTAGCCAAATACCAAATTAAAGACCTGAAACCAAATTCGACACCGAAAATTTCCTTATGCCTTCTCTGTATTCTGTGGTATTCGGAGGGGATTATATTTTTTGCTCGCGTCGTTTAACTACATACACTCTATTTGGCATGTGCAGATGGTTTTTCTGTTCGTGGAGAATCGGTCTGCTGATCGGCTGGAAGAGACTCAATTCCGTTCACCGACAACGCCTTGGACGGGTCGAAGATCTCAGTTTCTGTAGTCTGCCAGGCGCCGGTCATCTGCTTCACTTAGCCAAGAAGTCGGACGCACTGCTTGACACTTCCAAATGGATTTTCTGTCATCCATGGTCATGATTTCGTCGTCGACGACAGGAACGATGCCCAACTCTGGCCAGTGGGGACAAGCCAACTGGAAAAAAACGTGCAAATTCGTCAACGACACGAATATCTCATTACTCATCTTGGTGTTCTTCATCTTTTAAGACATATCAAACTTTATCTGATCCGTTTTCCTGCATGATCGGCATTGTCATCGACAGAATGTTTTATAGTTCGCCGCATGACGAACGGTCGACTGCGGCTGAAGACACGGCGACGATATTCCGGAAACAAATTTCCCATTTCTCACAGCTTTATATGAGACTGCTTGCATCCGAATTCGAATGCTTGTCAAAAGCAAGAACCGGGCCGGCTATAGCCGGTGTCGCCGCCGTCGTCGCCTCGTCGCAGCCTTTGTACTCCTCCCCTCTTGTCCTCATTGGTCATTCGGCACCTGGTGGTGGTCGTTTGCCGATCATCAACGATGAACCACAAGGCAGATCGGTTTACGTGCGTGAGTGTGACCAAAAGATGAAAAGAAAACCAACGACAGACACGGCGGCAGCATTTCTTCCTCGCTTGGGATTTTCTGATCTTGTCTGACCCTCGGTCGTACGCGTTGTTTTACGGTAAGGACGACTGTGGTCGCAGAAATACGGTTCGTTCTATGGTTCGACTGACACTCCGTGAACCGTCGACGGTCGATTCCAACCGGGAACTACCTCGAGAACGGAATGCCGGCAGGCAAAGACCATCGATGATAGAACAATGACCGAAATAAGCTCGAATTCGTGGCACGAAGGACGGCCAAATTACGGTAAAATTACTTATGCGGGTGCAGCGAACGAACGACGACAACGTCGCTGCTGATTGGACTGATTCGAAACGTCTAACGAAGTAAGGACGACCGCCTGCAACTGAGAGGACAGGAGATGCTTTTATCCGCCGGTCGGTCAGCTGTGTTTGTCCTGTTGGCACGAACCCATGCCTGACTGACCAATAACAGATGGATTTCGCGCTCTTGACAGTCAGACGTCAGCCTTCCTCTGGCAAACCCACGATGACCATTCCTTCTCAGGTGACCGCGGTCGACCG